TGGGGGACGCCTGCCAGAGCCGGAGGGTGGGGGGGAAAGGGTCCGCCAGCGGGGATGGCAAAACCCTTAGCTCCGACCTCGGCGGGGTGTTCGCTGTCGATAGCTGGAGGGCACTGGTCCGGGGGGGCCGGCTGGGGCTGCGGGCTCGGGGGCTGCCGCAGCTTGGCCGAGGGGGGGGGGGGTGTTGGGATGGATGGGGGGAGAAGGATGCTGGGGCTGGGTGGAAACAGTGGTCCCATTAAAACAGAGAGGAACACTTGTCCTTCTGTTGGGAAATGCTTGGGGCAGAAGGCTTGAGTCCCGGGAACGGTGCTAGCTGCGTGGCCCCAGCCGGCTCCGTCCCCCGGCCAGGGGACCGGTGTCCATCCCCGACCACCTCTGTGACAGCTCCGAGCTGAAGGGCATGGACGGAGCATCTCTGTGGCGACGGGGGCTGGGGACAGCCGGGCCTGGAAATGATTTCTCCTGACAGGGACCAGATGTGTCAGGATGAGCTTTGCCGGGGGGAGGCTGCACAACAACAAGAGGAGTTCAGTCACGGGTCCCCTCCAGGTTTCAAAAGCAACACCTTGTCTCCCCCTTTCCACCTTCCTTCCTCCCCCACCCTTTCCGCGCACACTCTTCACACCTCCAAAACCTATTTTGGGCGGTCTGATGAATCCCAGATGCCTCGGGGAAGCAACAGAAGCGGCGGTGTGCTCCAGGCGCTGCTTCACGCCGCTTCCTTGGCAATGCCCCCAAGCTTTCGCAAGCCGACGGAGCGGGGGCAGGAAGGGAGGGGGGAAAAGGGGGATAATGAAGTGGTAAACGAGCCTGGTCCTCAATATTGCAATTATTCATGGAGCGGTGAGTGGGGAAGAGGATCCCACCTGGTCCTGGAGGAAGGTAGGGATGGTTGGGAAAAGGGGTGGAATGGGTTCAGATGGTTTGGGATGGTGCTTGGGGAGGGGGTTATGACGGTCTGGGAGGGGACAGGAGACAGCCGGGTGTCTGTCTGGAGCCGGGGATGATGGGGGACAGCCCTGGGAGCCATCTGCCATGTCCTGAGCATCCTTCACTGGCTCCTGTCGAGGTGAAGGGGGGCCAAGGAGGAGGCAGGGAGAGCCCCGTCGGAGGGAGAGAGCTGGGTGAAAGTGGGCAGCAAACACTGCTGTTCTCTCCTGTGTAAATCGGTGGAAGGGGATGGTTAACACGACTCGAGTGTCCGCCTCGGCTGCTGAGAGCGACCTGCTGCGGTGCTGGCATCGATGATGCTGGTATTGGTGGCCTCAGGCCTGCACCTTGTCACCTCATGCCCTTCAAACCCCCCCAGCCCTCCTGCTCCCGGGGGAGCTCAGCACATCAGCTACAACCGCAGCTTCATTTGCTTCAGCTGCATTTCGTTAGGGTTGATTTAATCCTGCAGAAAAGAGGGTGCTCAGCCCCTCGGGGGGACAGGCTGGGTGTTTGGGGCATCCTCGTGCTGGGGGAAATGGCTCCTGGCATAGATGAGCAGTGCCGTGAGCTCAGGGCTGAGATCTTGCTGGAGACTGGTGGGGCTGATCTGTGAAAGTCAGGGGTGTCCTGGGCAGGGGGAGACTATTCTGGGTGGCAATGCAGGAATAAAGCCCATGGGGCCAGGAAGCTGCTGTGGGACTTGGGAAGAGGGGCCGGGAGGGGCTGGCTGGGTTAAAGAGAGGTTTTCATGCTCATCTCCAGCTCTCTGAGACAGGACGCAATGTTCTGACGTATGTGGGAACGCATACAGCATCTGGCACGCCTGGGTGGTGTCTCTGGGTGTCAAGAACTCAGTCTTGCCTCTGCTTTGTAGATGAATGTCCAGCTGCAATGCCCTTGTAGCAGAGAGGGAAGGTTGGGGAGAAAGGCATTAACCTGCTGATTTTTAGGCAGCTGAATGCCACAGCTCCCAGGGAATTCAATGAGAAAACAACCTGGCTGTGTTAGATGCAAGAGGGTGGTTTCCAGCATCTCCACCACTCCATGCTTTGCTTTAACCTCCCAGCCTGCTCTTGCCCTCCTGATGGTATTTCATGTCTATTCTTTCTTGAAGGTTTTTTGTCAACTTCCCATCTGCCAAGCAGTACTTCAGCCAGTTCAAGCACATGGAGGACCCGCTGGAGATGGAGAGGAGCTTGCAACTGCGTAAGCACGCTCGGCGGGTCATGGGTGCCATTAACACTGTGGTGGAGAACCTCAATGACTCCGAAAAGGTCTCCTCTGTTCTGGCCCTGGTGGGCAAGGCCCATGCGCTCAAGCACAAAGTGGAGCCCATCTACTTTAAGGTAAAGGATGGGAGTGAAAAAAATCTCTGGGATGCTGTAGGAATTAGGAAGAGGGCAGGAGAGAGGGAGCCGTGGCGAGCCGGTGCTGCCGGTCCTCGCCCGGCC